TAGATTTTAAAAAAGTATTTAACTAAATCCGAATTAAAAAAGGAGATAAATAGAAAATAGTATTTCGAATTCGTAGAGGACTTTTTAAGTATTTTATTATACTCTTTAGACTTACTAATACTTTAATAACTTTTTAAATAATAGTTAATTATATATTCTAGGAGTTCGTTAATATTTTTATTATTATTTATATTAATAATATTTTTATTTTTTCTCTCGACTTTAAAATATATAAAAAATATATTTATATAGTATTTTAAAAACTCTAAAATATTAAACTATATACCGAACCCTCTAAGTACGAATTTTATATTTAGAAAGTAGACTTTTTTAAATATATTATTATATTAAGATAAATCTATATATAAGTATTTAAAATAAAAGTAATTAGGGACTAGTTTATATTATAAAACGTTAAAAATATATAAGGATTCTTAGGATTTATTAACTTTTATTAATAATTCCTTAAGGACTATATTAATATTATTAGACCTCTTAATAACTTAATATAAAAAGATAACTTATTTATTTAGGATTCTAAATATAAAAAAGTATTTATTAAAATTAAAAATATAGTCGTTTCTAAATTAATTATTATAATTTTAGACCCCTAAAAACCCTTCGAAGTTAAAACTAATACTTCGGATTTTACTATAGGAGTAGTTTTAGGATAACAAAATAAGTAAAAAAATTTTTATTTATATTATTTCTATTTTAAAGTATTTTATAAAATAGAATTAAATTAGTAAATTTATAATAAAGAACTAATAATTATTATTAAAGTATTTTAAAAATAGAAATTATAATTATTTAGAACTAAATATAAAGTTATAGTTTATATAGATTATAAAAACTTTATAAATTTTATAATAAATAAGAATTTAAATAAATAATAAGTTAGATAGAGCGAGTTTCTATTTAAATATAATTTTTAAATTATTTATTAAAAAAGTTTAAAAAATAGTAAAATAAACGCTCTTAATAAAAAACTTAATTACGAAATTATAATCCTTAAAGAAATATAAGTTATTTTTTTAAAAAAAAAGGATAGTAGCTTTATACTAATTATAAAGCTTTTTATAATAACTAAAAAAATTAATACTAGCCCGATTAAAAAAATAATCCCTAAGCTTATTATAAAAATTTATAATATACCTGTATATAGTTATTAAAGAGTTATTAAAATGTAGAAACGGATTTATTAATATTATAATAAATTTATTATATGCGCTAAAATTATTAACGTAATTAAGGACTACGTAATTTATAAAAAAAATAAAAATAGCCTATATAAACTTTATAGCGAGCTATAATTATTATAATTATTTACGGAAGTATAATAATCGATTTTATAAGACTTTATTATTAAATTATTAAAGTTTAAAGAACTATTTATAAATATATAATACGATAATATCCTAGTTATAGTTAATTAACTTACTAAGTTTACTTATTTTATACCCTATAAAAAAATTAATAACGTAAAAGAATTAATATATACGTTTTTTAAAAATATTATTATTACTTATAATATACTAAAAGAAATTATTTTTAATAGAAGCTCTTTATTTATTTTAAAGTTTTAAAGATCTCTAATCTCGTAATTTAGTATAAATTATAAATTATTAACCGCTTTTTATTTATAAACTAATAATTAAATAAAAAAAATTAATTAAATTCTCGAGATATATTTCTAATATTATATAAATTACGATTAGAATAACTAAGTAATATTATTATTAATAACTTAATTTATATATAATAATATAGTTAGTAAAAGTATAAGAGAATCCCCGTTTTACTTAAATTATAGATATTAATTAATAATATATAGAGAAGTATAATAAGGACTATAAATTATTAAAATAATAATAAATATAATAAAACTCTAAGAAATTTAAAAAAAAATATCTTTAAATTTTAAATTTATATACTAATATATAAAAAAAAACGTAGATAAATTAAGGATTAGAGGACTAATTTTAAAAGAGGGGGATAATACTTATTTCTTTTATTATAATATTAAAACGAAACGACTAAATAATAAATTAGATTATAAAAAACTTAAACTTTTCGAAATTATTTAAAAAGTTTTAAATATTAATTATAAACTAAGATTCCTAAATATAATAAAGTATTATTTAGTTTTTTATATTTTATTTCTCGAACTAGTACTTAAAGGTTTATATATAGAAAATTATATTATTATAGAACTTAACGAATTAAAATATAAAGTTAAAAGGATTATTAATTATAAGGTTAGGAATAAAATACGAGAATTTTTAATTAAATAAAAAAATTATAAATATAAAAAAAATATATAAGAACTTATTACGAACTTTTAGAACTTTTAATAATTTCTTAAAAAATATTAAAATTAAAATTAAAATTAGAACTCTTAGTTATTATAATATCTTAATTAATAACCCCGAAAGTATTATTAGTTTATATTTTACGGGCTATTAATAAAATATTTTTAGTATTTTTAAGAAATTCTTTTAATATAATACGACTTTTTTTAAATACTATTTATTTTTAAGTACGAAGACGCTCTAATTTAGATAACGATTTATTTAACTTAGCTTAAGTTTTTTAATAAGCCTTAGTTTTTTTTTATAATTTTATAGCCCTTTTTTAAAAATATAACTCCTCTATTTATTTTTTATAATTTAACTAATCGGATTTTATTACTAAATAACTAATTGCGCTAAATTAGCCTAGATTATTAAATAAGGACTACGATTATTTATAAGTATAAATAGTATTAATAAAAGTATTATATAATATGTTTAAGTAATAGTATATCCTATAAATATTAAAATTAAAAAGGACTAAATATTAAATATTACGCGAGCGATAATTTAAATAAAATATTATTTTTATACTTTTATTAGAAAAATAAATAATACGTAATAGCTTATAACAAAATACGGCTATTTAAAATTTCGATTTTTTAATTTAACTTAATATCATATTAATATATTTTTTAATAAAATAAACTTAATAATTCTTTAACTTAAGAATAAATAACTTATTTATAGGCTTAGAGGATTAGATTTTTAAAAAGAGAAGCTAATATTATAACTTAATAAATATAATAAAACTAGGGGCTATTTTATAAAACTTATAGTAGCTATTATATTATATATATAAAAAAAACGAATTTAAAATAACTTTTTTTAAAATAAAAGAATTATAAATAAGTTATATAATTACGATTATATAATAAAATAAAAAACGAATATTTATAGAAAAATAGGACGGATAATTATATATAAGTAGGATAGACAACTATTTAGTAAATAGTTAGGTAATTATAAATAGTAATATTATAAAAAATATATTTAAAACTTATATATAATATAGACTTAAGCTAGGTTTAAAAATAAACTTTTTATAGCTTTTTTAGTAATTAACTTAGTATTAGATTTTATAATCGCTTTTAACTATTTTTATTAAAAACTCTTTTTAATAAAACTATAATTAATTACTAAAGCTTTATTTATTTTATAATTTATAAATATAGTTTTAGGGAAGCTATCTATAATTATAATACTGCTTATTTAGTTATTATAGCTTTAACTTTTACTAATATACTTATTACGACTAGCTAGCCGTAATATAGTAATTATATAATTAGTTTTAATTAACTTATAGGGGTCGAATTACCTAGGGATAATAATAATTATATTATTATAATAATAGAAAATAATTAATTAATTAAGTATAGTTAGTAGCGATATTTTGATGCTATGTTTGTTAGGGGGCCTAAAAGGGGGGGGGGGCCCATAAGTGGGTGCTTTGACTTATATGCAACGCACTTTCTAGACTTAAGAGTATATTAGGTTAGAATTCTTGCACTGAATTTCCAGCTCAAATTTACTAAGCGATAATTCTATGACATTAGCTCCGTAATGCAGTTGAACCCGGACGTTATAACGATCGCGGCCAAAAGGGATGAACAACGAAAAGCAGGCCAAGTGCTCGGTCCTCTCCATGGAATCCCTTTCACTGTCAAAGACAATATCGCAATGCAAGACAGTATGGAAACGACTGCAGGGAGCTATGCATTATTGGGAAGCATTGTCCCTCGCGATGCCTTCGTTGTCGCTCGCTTGAGAGCAGCGGGAGCTGTACTATTTGGGAAATCCACGATGAGCGAATGGGCAGACATGAGGAGTACCGGATACTCAGAAGGTTACTCCCCGAGGGGTGGACAGCCACGAAGCCCCTACAACTTGGTCTTCAATCCCATGGGAAGTAGCTCCGGCAGTGCAGTAGGAGTGGCTGCCAATGCGATCGCCTTTTCTCTTGGCACAGAAACGGACGGCAGTGGTAAGACTATGGCCTTGTATCATCGATCACACGCATTTGTCACTAACTCGGCATCAGTCATCGGCCCTGCTCATAAGAATGGCGTAGTGGGCATCAAGCCAACTGTCGGACTGACCTCAAGAGACGGGTACGTTGATCGCTCATCACTGGAAAACCGATACCACGTATAGAGAAGCTTTTGTTGACCTATTGAATATAGAGTCATACCAGAGTGCGAACGCCAAGACACAGTCGGCACCTTCGGTCGAACCGTCCGCGATGCCGTGTACGCCCTTGATGCTATCTATGGCGTCGATCCAAGAGACAATTATACCGAAGCCCAAAGCGGAAAGACGCCTTCATCGGGGGGTTACGCTCAATACCTAACTAACAAAACTAGCCTGCAAAACGCAACATTCGGCATCCCTTGGAACAGCTTTTGGGCTATTGCGAATGAAGAAACCAAGGCACAGCTTGGCAGGCTGATAACTCTCATACATAAGAACGGCGGCACCATCGTGAACTTCACCGAGATTACTGATCATGAGAATGTCGTGAACAAAGCAGGCTGGGATTGGAATTGGCAAGGCAAGATAGGCCACCCTGAAAAATCAGAGTATACTGTCGTTCTGGTCGACTTCTACAACAACATCAAGAAATACCTCTCTGGACTTCAGAACACAAAAATGCGATCGCTTGAAGATATCATCAAGTTCAACTACGAGAACGACGGAATCGAAGGAGGAAATCCCTTTGATGGGAACTACACGATGTCCGGCCGTTACAGAGTGTACCACGGCGTTCCAGCTTTTCGGTCTGGACAGGATGGTTTCTTGATGTCTAACCAGACCCAAGGAGGCCGGAATAGCACCTACTGGCACGCTCTTAACTACATGCAGAACACCACACGCAGCGGCATCGACGGTGCACTGAGCCACAATGGAAAACGGCTGTCAGGCTTGCTCGTGCCTATCTCAGTAGCCCAGACTTACCAGATAGCGGCGCAGGCTGGGTACCCGATGATCACGATCCCAGCAGGAGTGTATTCCGACACTGGCATGCCTTTTGGTATGGGAATCATGCAAACTGCGTTTGCAGAAGAAGAACTTGTACGGTGGGCCAGTGCCATCGAAGACTTACAACTAACCTCGGACACACTGCTCAAAAGAACGCGGCCGAGGTGGTTGAGGCACCTGGAAAAGCCTATTCCCATCGGCCGGGAGCCGAAGGGTAATTGAGATAGCCGCGAGATTATTCACCCAATTGCGCAGAATATCAAGTAGCAGAAGCCTTCAAGCGACGAAAGAGATATAGCAAGTCACATTAAGGATACCAATTGTTCTTAATTACACAAGCTTCAATCATACTTACCGAGCCTGGTTCAATCCTCAAACTAAGTCTCTGCATGTGCATGATGTCGAAGATATTCAGGCACACTAAAAGCCCCAGGTGGTTACTCCCATTGCTTCAAAAACTCCACGGCCTCATCAAAACTTTGTCGTATGACATCGACATGCTTCTCGCTCCTCGGGACAAACTTCACCTTGTATTTCTTAGGCGTGTGTAACAACCCCTCAATGTACCCTTCAGGGCTCGAATCTAGTTCGACCTCCTTTCCGTCGGGTCCAATCGCTGGCTCGATCTTGAATGCCCAGAGAATCTGTGCTACCATACGCCATTGAGACCGCTCGGCAAGATGTAGCCCGGCGCACATTCGTCGCCCCACACCGTACGAGTAGTGATCACGCTCTTCGTACTTGGGCGAAGCGGCGAGTTCAGGTGCGAGTTTGTCGGCGACAGGGATGTAGCGGTCTGGGTTGTAGGTGAAAGGGTCCGGTGACAAGTCGCTATTGTGATTGAGTGCGTATGCTGGAATGAAGATAGAAGAGCCAGCTGGGATGAACATGTCACCGTACCATCGGTCCTGCTTGGATGCATGAGGTACGCCGGTTGGTACTCTAGGTGTATTGTCTAACATCAGCATCATGTTGGAACTTGAAACGGGTTGATCACTGATCAGGCTACTCACACTGGTTTTACCCGCAACCCTTCTTTCACGATGCAATTAATGTACGGCAAGCTCTTGAAGTCAGACCAGTTGGGAAGTCTTTCTGCGCCACAGACTCTGTCGAGTTCGACTCTTGCTTTCTCCTGAGCCTCGGGGTGCTTCGCCAGGAGCATGATGTTCGTGAGGGTTGCTGTAGCTGTTGTATCGGCAGCTGCCATCTGAAGGCCCCCTAGGAAATTGTTGAACCCCGTGTAGCTAAGAGGCACATCGCACTTGATTTCTTCGTCGAGTAGTTTGTCAATGAGAGATTCCCTCCTGGTACCTTGGCTTCGCCGCAATTCCACGTCTTCGCGAGCTTTGGTCCAGATGTTTGTTATGGTGTGGTATAATTCCTTTCCTCGTTGCCTGGACTTGGCTAAACGATTTGGGATCCATTTAAGAATTGGAAATTGATCCACGGGTAGGTAAGAACCAGGCTCGAGAATAGTGGAAACCTTCAAAAGTTCAGCTGAGTTCTTATCTACGCTTCGGAAAAGACACTTCAATGATGGAACTGCTTACCCCATCCATGGCGATGTAAACCGCCTGGTCTGAATTAGTTTGTGTAACATAATCGACACCTGAATCGAGAGGAAAGAACCTACATATGCCCAGAAACTTTCCCAACTGGGAGCTCGCTGGCCGAAAATTGTGATAGTTGCGATAGAAGCAGTGGTTCTTTTCACACTCTCCATGAATTCATCAGGCTTCTTTAGTAGGTCGTGCATTAAAATGGAAATTCTGCGTAAGTTAGAAGCAATGAATCTGGGGGCTATATGCAATCATTTGAAGCTGTGCTTGAAACTTACTCAGACTCTTGTACTCCCCTTAGTGCGCCATCGAGATTCTTCGGGGAGAAGTACGTGGCTGCGATCTTCCGTTCTGCCCTCCACACAGGACCATCGTGCATCAGAGAGGTATTCTCTTGACGCATAGCGAGGTCATACTGCTGGTCAACTGGTCTGTCGTTGTAATATGCCCCTTTTGATGTCAAGAGTTCGTGAACGGCATGTCTGTCATTAAGCACAACCATGGTGCTTTGCCCGACTTTGAGAGAGTAGATCGATCCATACTGATCGGCCCATTCTTTGAGTCTACATATATGCTTGATCAGCGATAAGGAAAACTCTCATGAGCCCGGCTACCTACTTGGTGTACATGCCTCTCGATGGAATTAGATGAGCGTTTCCAAGAATGGGAAGTGTTGGTGGACCGGGCGGAAGATGTTTCTCTCTACTGCCAAAGGCGAGGATCTTGAATGCGAGGAGCACCGCCGGGATGATCCAAATGAGTGCTGGGTAGCTACCCAGCACGGGAAGATCGACTGATGTCACTGTCATGGTGAGTGTTCTGGCATGAACTGGTCAGAATCGACGATGAAGAATCACGGTGGATACAGTCTCAGTCTTAAGTATTTTCTTTAGAGAGAGGCAAACGCTTGGATTCGTAACACCCATCCCTAAGGTCAAATCATAACTGCCGGCAACCCATTGCGCTTTGCATATCGGATCTGCTTTCCTCGGTCTAAACAGCCTCCTTGGCGCATGCCTGTCACGGAGTGGGGCGCAAATCGTTCCCTTGCAATCGCGTCCCGTCCCGCCCGTCGCCTTAGCCCATCGGGTATCTTGCTAGAGCGGACAAAGATTGGCGTGTTTGTGCGACGCTGACTGCGTGCGTCTTCCGCTGAGTCAATCGGATGTTGCCAGGTTCGGCAACTGAATCGTAAAAAAGTGGTCTCTGAGTGACCTCTGCCGGTCACCGGGCCGAGAGACGTGGAAATGGGCTATCGGGTATCATCTTGCCGCTTTCCACTGAGTTGCCCACCGGGTTTCCTGTTATGGAAATGGATAGACGGAGTTAGGTGGGTAAGTTCGCCATAAAAGATCACTTGCACAATGTGCTTCCTGCAAGGTGACGTGGTTTCGAGACAACTTGTCGAGAAAAAGCATGGAAAGTTGTGAGGGTTGCACCAGTCTTGCCTTTTAACTTGACAAAGCGAGAGGTGGTACGTGTAAGGCGCGCTTTGAAGCGTGTGGCTCTTCTGGTCTTGTTACTACCGCCAAGGGCTTATATGTGATCTCTTGGAAGCCATGACTATCCAATCCAAGTGTTTATCTAGATATCTGACGAGAAGAGTATTCGATGACCGTTGCCGGATTGAGATACTGAGTGACGACTCTGAAGCGATGTGGTGTGGTTCATTGATGGTCAAGCTGACTGCAGCCGCCGTAATTGCTTTCAACTCGATTGGCTCCGCTGGGAGGAGGCAAACCCCGTATAAGTAAGCTGCAATGAAATCCCCTTCGGGCATCATTAGCGATGAGATCTTCTCAGAGCAAAGGCTCATGTGCATCCGGCACTCTGATTGATGAGAATGATCCAGTAAATCATGCAGGTGACGAGATGCAGCTGTTCTTATGCGAGTTGCCTGCCCATTGACATCCATCTGTCAGCCATAGTGGGGCAGCAACTCCATATCTCTCGTTCTGAGCTCCACGTGCAGTACCAAGGAAGACTATTCTTGTGTAGTTCACCTTGTGACTCAATGTCTTGCCTCGTTGTTGGGTTGAGGAATCTTATTGACAATGTTTGATTCGGCCTCTGCCATGTCATTCAAAACAGGTTAGACGGCGGGCATTCCATGCTTATAAGCCGAGTCTGTGACAACCAAGACATGAGTTGTGACAAGATGTTTGTAGGTTTAAGGTGCCATGTGCTCAGAGGCACTCGCACAAGCTAGTGTGTATTTCAGAGAGCCTTGACGGGCAGGAAAGGCCTAGATGTCTTGTTGACAAGGGAAGAAGTGAAAGACCCGAGATCGGGCCGTGTCTGTACGGCATTTCCGGCCAACCACGGCCCCACTTCGGCTGTCCGTGCTCCCAAGGTCGTAGTGTCAATGTCATGGCCGTTGTGAAACAGGGGATGAGTGCACAAAGATGAGATGAAACTGAGCTTGTATTATTGTATTCATTACTTGAGACGACAACCTGTCCAGAAACAAGACGCGGATCCTGCGCCGCGCGTTCTCATCGTGGAAAAGCCGGTCTCAGAAGAGTCAAGCTTCCGGCACTTGACAAGATTTGTCGTTGAGAGCCGCCCTTGCTTAGAATGCGCTAGCAAATGCGCCCAGAAGACCAATCGCCATTGCGGTCAGGAGCACGTTGTTTGAGAAGCTCATCGACTTATGTCCTGAAGAGATGCCAGAGGGAACCTTGGACGGTGTCACAGCACCGGTTGGAGCGGTGGTGGTGGAGTTGCTCTTCTTCGCGTTCGCTGCAGGTCCGGGGTTGGTGACAGTAAAGAAGTTTCCGGCTACCACCTTGTTGGCTAGTCCAGCGGTGGTAAGCACGGCGTTGACATCAACCCCTCCGCGGGTTGACAGCGTCTGCAAGGCAGCCGTTCCGTCCGCCGTGATGTCGCTCGTGTCGACAAGCAGCTCGATGTACCGGTGCGAAAGGGGAACTCTTGCTGGTGGTGCGGGGCCCTTGTAATCCGCAATTGCGTTTGAAGTGGTTGTCAGAGTGTGGATAACGCGCTCGCCGTCGTTCAGCTTGACAGTGGTGGTTTGCGCGGCTGGCGTCAGGTCCGCCTGAGCCCAATGCAAGAAGGTGCCGGTAGTCGGTGGGCTCGCGGTAGGAATATCGATGTCCACCATGATAATTGCGTAGCTTTTTCCGGTCAGGGGCTCGGTCGTGCCAACTGTAGGCTCCGTTTGCGTAACTGATATGGAGATTAGCTAGTGTCTTTCTTTGCAGCTGAAAATTACTTACGACTTTTGGCCAGATCCACGCCGTTAAGACCCGACGTCTCACCATACGCAACAATGAGGTCGACATTGGAAGCGGGCTCGAAGCCCTCGGGCGTCTTGGCCCATGCCACCAGGGCACTGCTCAACAAGACAACAGAGGTAGGGCGATGCATTGAAATAGCGATTAATTGCAGGATTCTGGTAGACCAAGACTAAAAATGACTGAAAGAAAGTTGGATGGACTGTCGTCTTATATCCAGCATGCGGAGTCGTGAAACACCTATCCAGTCAGCAGGGATGCGGCTCGAACACGTTCCACGCGTCTGATCCTCAGACATGAAATTTTTCCCTCTACGACCCAGACCGCATTGATGGTCGAGCTCGACCCTGACACGACATAGTGGACACATTACGCAACGAAACTGTTTCGATTTGAGGGAGCACTGGCTACTTATTTCTTTTGCTGAACTATTCTACAGTTCCTCGCATGTTCATCGGATCTGAGTTCGTAGTGAAGTGTACATGTACTCATGAAACCTACCGGGAAGATAGCAGGTGGTGGCCGATGCTATTAAACATTCTATGCAGAGAAAAATCGAAAGTCATGTTATCGGCCCTTTGAGGCCTTCAGTTCCAATCGTCTCACAAACAGCTTTACATATGTCGTTTTGAGATCAAATTAGACCGATTTGATTATCGAAGCTTCACAATGACATCTATTGTCTGGCTAGTCGGGCTAGAAACTCTAGGGAAAGTGCTCTCATGCCAACAGATGTAGTTTCTCAAGCTACTTGATGCTCTCGGTACCTTGTATATTCAAGGTGGCTACTGTAAGGGTCGTACCTTTCGATGACCTTCTACGGATGTAATGTGATATCGGTGCTGTTATTACTATACATCTATCATCGTAGAGCCTTCGTACTAGTACAAGAAACGGAGCCCAAGGCCTTGTTGATCTGTGACACTTTGGGTCTGTCATGTGCTCGAAGCAACAACAATCCAGATGCATGCTGCCGAGAATTATCTCGAATAAGAAAGTACAAGCCTAAAGCAGCAAGATTCACTACCACTAGACAAAAGTCATAATATAGACCATTTCTCTGTGCAAGTTTCGATGCAACGAGCTTAGCTAAGGGAATGGAGATACGCATATTGATAGCGTATTTAGCCAGCCTACTTCGCCACTTAGATTTATATGGGATACGTTGTACTCTGTCGAAAACCTTACTGAATTTCTCTTATCCAGGTGTTCCTTCAGTTCATGAAGTGACGCATTTATTCTGTTGCATCTAGTCTATCCTGCCCGCATCTATATATATGGCTTTCCAACCTTGCGCATGGATCTACCAGTGCCAGTGGAAAATCGAAGAAGTAGGTTATAGTCTTGCCTTACCTTACATATAACTCCTGTCTCAGTGCTTACTTACTGGACAAAGATTGATTGGTACTAACACTTGCTAGAGAGTAGTACTTGAATGATTCAGTCTTGCAGTCTTGTTTGCTGTCTATGTACATGAAAATCATCCGGCATATGCTACGGCCTTGCCAGCCTCGACAGCACAGACCCTGAATCCAAGTCATCCGCTATCGTGAGTCGTCAAACAATCGACTTGAAATTTACTCACGAAGGCACAAACCGATCTGTGGCATTATAGACACAATTCAATGCGTTATATAGCTATATATAAGCAAACCGCTTCTACCGGCGCAAGGTCGTAGAGCAGTCAACGCAAGGGTGGCTCCAGCAGCGGTAACTTCGGATAGGCAGCATAGAGTAAGGCGAAGTGCTACCTACTTCGTAAACCTGTTACTTCGAAGTAGGCGTGATATTTGTCTGTACAAATGCGGATACGAAGACACGTTGCTCGCGAATGTGTCGTCAACTTGTCCCTTATCGACAAAGGCCGCAACTTAAATATGCGTGTTGACGGCACCGGCGTACAAGAGTTTGTCGAGTGCGCTAAGGCAAGGTACTGAGACCAGGGCCTCAACGTTGTGTTGTTAGGTACGTACCGTGAAACTAGAGTTTCCAGCCATGGATACAACCTATGGACGGCTTTCGCCGAAGTGATTAGAAGACAGAATGTGTTCATTCTCACGGGTGGTTTAGTTGCTGCAATCAAAGCATGTTATATGGTTTATACTGGTCCGGCAGTTTCGAGCATACCGTGCTAAGGTACGATGGGCATCGCTCACATATCCCCACTGAAGAAGACATTCGTCAATCTACAACTCAATCGCGGCATCGCCAGACCACATCACTGGGTCGGACCCTGCGCTTGGTTTCTCGGCGCGATCTCGACCGCCTCATCTTTCACAAACCACTATACGAAGTTGTTTAAATAAGCCTCCACAAGCAAGTGCCATGCCTTTTAGACGTTTGGAGCTGATCGCATACATGAAGTCGAGATTCGCCGCGGACCACCTGCTGCTCCGAGCCTCCGATAAGCGCTGACCTGCAACCTTGTCAGCTGACAGCCTTCAAGATTGCAAGGGGCATCGGGTCCGGGGAAGCTGCCGGCTCCCAGGATACTGGCGTATTCCTCGGGAAGAGCGCCCCTTGGCGATAGGGTGCGAATCCGATTATTGAGCATGGAATAGAGTTACACTAAGAGTATCGCTGTTCCCGGTTTTCCTTGCGGCTGGAATTACGCCACGCGGGACGACTTAATCTATTTGAGCGCTTTGACCGTGCTATTTGACAACGTCAGGCCACATCGAGAGACTCACGACTCGCTGAGCGGTAGGTCCTTTTGTATCCACAGACCGACGAAGCGCCAATGTTTGACCATTTTGGAAAGCATTGTTCTTGATCCTTGTTGTCATCGGCTTCTCCTCAACACTTATTAGCCGAGGTAGACGCGGCCTTCACTTCCAAGTTTCACTATGTGCCACATCGTCGTCTACAGAGTCCAAAGAGGAACGAATACTACTGCCACGACTCAATAAGCGAGCTTCGTATCCATAGCAGCCCACCGGCTTGCTATTCTCGCCTGTAGCGCGGTGCACTAGCTCAAACACGATTTATGCCGACATCTACCCCAAGCGGATCATCAGAAGGGGAGTACGGAAAGCTGATGAGGAGCGGAAGACATAAGTTTCCCATGCTCGTATTCTCCACGCCGCTCGCGGTCCGTTCGCTGCCCGCTGGGCGGAACTACCGGGGAATTTTTACCAATCAATCGATCGTGAGTTTGAGTTAGAATCAAGCAGAATTTTAGAATATGACGAATGGACGATGTAACAAGGTCTCGAATGTTAAACAGAGTTTAGCAAAGCTTGGTCTTGGAGACAGACGAGGAGTGAGTGGAATATACCTAAGGCCATCCAAGAATCCCACCATCCAGCGAGGGAGCGCTGTAGGTCAAAAGCATGTTTTGTACGACACACCTTGCAGCCAGCCACTTTTACCTACCTTGTCACCAAAGTCCTGAAAGATCATACGGCTGAGACAAGCGCCTCGAACGACACCTGTCAGACAAGCAGGCCTGCAGATCGTACTCAAGGCCACGTGTGTGGGGAGATAACGTCAGACATCCGCCGCGGAAGCCGACATTGACATGGCCTTTGACTCGAGTCCGAGTCTCGTTGAAGAATTGTTGTTGTTCCAACACCTGTTTTGCTGGCCCTTGGCAGGCGGACAGAGCACGATGCTTGAATCATAACCGTGGTCCCTCCACCTGCACCACTACTAATCAGGCCAAGCTAAACCAGGGACCGCAATTGCTGCGACCCTAACTTGGCGTCTTTGATCCTTGCGTTCATCCCATTTTGACCTTTTAATCTTGTTGATCAATCTAATTGAGTTTCTGTGCGCATCCTTCCCGAGGCATGGACCGAGTAAGTTAATGACTGCTACGATGGACTTTGAGATGCGCGCGGTTCTGCGATTGAGGCACTTGGTGGCCTTGATCCGTCCTTTGTCCGTCTGTCCGCTCCTCTCGCCAAGTCATATCTTCCCCATGTCAGCGAGTTCAGTTCTTTCATTATTCGTTGGATAGCTTCTCCCCGTCTGGATCTTCACTTCTTCTTGCACCTCTTTGTGCGCTTCTTGGCGCAGTTGACTTCTTCTCAATGTCGTCGGATACGTTGTCAGTTCGGGACGCCGAAAATAAGGGGCCAACTGCTCTCGCAATTGTCGTTTGTGTATCAGTTCTCAGCACAGTCTTTACCGCAGCAAGACTCTTCACGAGGGGGAAGGTCCTCGGGAAAATCAGTCTGGATGACTACTTCATTGTTGCTTCTGTGGTGAGTTCTACAAGTTTCCTCTGTATTCTGTTGCCTATCCATGACAAACACGACTCTGCCAATATCATCGACCCGCTCTGTTGATTCTCCTTTCACTCTTCCGGTCGTTCCAGGACAAGATGCCGCTGAGGAAGTGGAGTTCTAAAAGGCCAGCTGTGAGATCGAAAAATATCGTTCAACTGACTGTTGTGAATAAAGATTTGCGGTTGGATGAACGTTGCAACTGTAGCAGTTGCTGTTTCCTACGGATATGGACGCCATGCCGATACCCTTTCTGTCGACGAGAAGTCGGGTGCCATGCTTTGGAGCATCGCCGGTTACCCGCCTGGACTCCTTTCATTCGGCATTCCTAAACTCGCCGTCGTCGCGTTGCTCACCCGCATTTTGAACCCAAGTAGATGGCACAAGAGGTTCCTTTGGGCCTTGTCTATAATCTGTGTGGTCAACTTGGTTGGGTTCATCACGATCATCTTCGCCCAATGTTCCCCAGCACGTTCTCAATGGGATTCATCGGTATCTGGTCAATGTTGGAGCAAGTGGATCCTCGTGTCGTTCGCAACGTACTCAGGAGGTAAGTTGCTTAGGTCAACACTTAAGGAGTCGCTTTGGATCAGCTAACAAACCCAGCATTTTGTGCCTTTGCCGATGTCTACCTTTCCGTATACCCCGCCGTTGTCTTATCGAAACTACAAATGAACCGAAAGAAGAAAATTGTGCTCAGCGTAGCTCTCGGTTTTGGGTCACTGTAAGGCTTCGATGTCTAAGTCGCACCCTGAAAACAGATGACTAACACCCTTTTAGCTCGGGAATTGTAGTCATCTACAAGTGTATCAAACTACCAAGCCTTACAAGCTCGGATTACACATGTACGTTCTTCATCTCGCCCGAGCTGTTTTGCACCAGGAACTAACCCTTTACGACACAGATGACACCGTCGAGCTTGTAATCTGGACAGTGTAAGACAAAGACACTCCCTACTCAAGACTCACAGCAACTAACCTGAGCTCTATAGTGTGGAAGGCAGTATAATCATCATAGCTGCATGCATCCCTGTCCTGCAACCCCTCGGCGAACTACTATTTGGCAAACGCATCTTCTCGTCAGGCAACGGCAAATACTTGTCTGGAAACTCCAAATCGAGACTCAGTGGCAAGTTGGGGACGAACAAGGGACTTTTCCGAACTCCTGTCAAGAAGGCTTCTCAAGAGGGATTCGACGCGGATAGTTTCAACAGCATTGCCAAGACGACCGTTGTTGGAAGAGGAAGTCAAGAGAGCATCCTCGAGCAGCATGAATCTGATGGGAAAATTGTACGAACAGATGCTTTCACCGTCACTATCGAGATGAGCAAGACAGATAGGCGCTGATTGTATTCATGGATTGATGTTACTTGGTTGAAGTTTTCCTGGGAGGATGCTTAATGCATTATGGGGCACAAGAACACACAAATAAGGTGTTGCCGTTATTGATATTGAGACATCGTCAGTTGTGCCGTATTCTCACATGAATTTCATTCAAACTTTCCTGCGTGTGGTTAAGCAATCCAATCGTCCTTAGCTGGGGCGTCATACATGTCTCATGAGGCAAAAGCCTAACAGCATATCCGCTTACAGAGCTTACGTTTTCGAGGAATCGATATCGGTGCTATGTTGAACATTGACAAGGCAAACTTCGTTATCAATTGGCCTTGAAACGCCAGAGTCATGGTATGAGTACCGACTACATGTAGAACCGAATTCAGAGTGCTTCCTAATTAGTGCATTACATTATGTTCTATACAAGGTACAGGAAGCAACTCGTACATGACTTTTTCGACTTTTGTCGGCCAGATTCCTGAGTGGCAGTCATTCTACTTACATTGTAAACGCATGTAAACATCCCAGTCCCTACCAAGTTTGCATTGCTTATCGTGACACTAAAAAGTATTTTCCGCCCTGTCATTGGTAACCCTGTTGGCGCCATACGAATGGGGATGCGCGAGTTTGATGCCACTATTAGCCGCTTCGATCTGATACCAATGCGAACTTCTGTGTTTCGGAACAGTCGAACCGAAAGAAGGAGAATATCTTTGCAGATAGACGACTTCCCGGTGTCTCAGCCAGCTATACTTGGTCAAACAGATGGCGCAACGTATCCAATGGCAATTTGATGGCGCAAAGGTGTATCCTGCATCCTCTGGATCTGCCATGACTCGTAAGTTTTGACTCAAACACCCATGGAGAATGTCTTGGTCATCAGTGTTGATAGGTACTCTTGGGCGGCTGGATCCGGGTATGCAGTGGCAGATGCTCGGGTCGAATGGTCTCAGTAGATCTTTTCTTGTGATGTGAGGGCAGAACACACTGTCGAAGTTTAGTTCGAACGCTTCTAGCTTGTTTGATAGAAAAGAATCCGTAACAACTTGGTGTTTTGCGGTTGAAATCATGATAGGCAGGATCCACTCGAGTTCGAACCATTTATGCAGCCGAGGGTAACTAGGGTTGCGATTGTGTTTCCAAATTGTGCGTATCATACTTGAGATCGCCGCCGAGCCTTTGATCGAAGGTGGTTTTATCATTAAATTGTGCTGTTTGTCCGTAAATCGACTGCTCGTCTCCTTACAGACGGAACAGCTTTCAAGGTTGATGCTATGAGGCCCATAGACACCGGAGCGGTTCCGGTTCATCTGCGCCCACTCATTGCCAGCTTGAGACAGGCCTCGACGTATTTCAATGAGGGATACTGTTTTGTGGCGACATATCTCGATTGAGGCCCCTGATATGATGCATTGAGGACCATCTCTAGGATACATCGGACGCTGTCTTGAGGAGAACTGGAGTAGCCTGTGTGATGTGTTGCAGCAATGGCAATCCAACGGGGCACCAAAATAAGCCACCCAGTACGAAAACACTATTCTGAGGTGAAGACATTTACTGCAGAAAGCATCCCGTTTTGCGCGTGTTATGGTGGCATTGTCGTGTGGGAAGCCGCCTCGAGAAGGATCTTTGAGAAAGTCTCGACCTCGGTGAATGCGCCAGAAGGTGTATGACACCTGACGCATCGTGTACAAGTCGGCCTTGTCTATAGAGAGCATAATTTGCAATAGAAGCTCGTCGGGCAAGCCGACAAGTCCACTTCTTTTCATGTTCTGGGCTAGGTTGATCTCCCACGTTGGCAGCATGTGATGGTCGTCAAAGATCTTCTGTGGAGTTTCGCGACTTCGGGACGAATTCCAAATGGTCTCCATGATACTAGCCGCAAGGAAGGATGGATAATGAAGTCTGAGAGGGGTGGACATGTTTTTGAATGAAGGCGAACGATTCTTGATATGTCAATGGCTAGTTTCTCTCAGCGAGACCTTTTACACAATCTACTAACAAGGATTCTAGTAGTATACTTATACGTATTCACAGCCATGCAAGTTCTTGAAGCCGTAACAAGGTTTGGCTTCACCGCGGAAATACCCTATGCAGAGAGACCACGAGCCAGGAGGCTCATCCAGTCGAGCACTGAATGGAATCCAACTGGATACTTTTCTCCAATAAATAACAAACTTGCAGTAGCTAAAAAGGCTCAATGGTTCAGTATCACAGGGAACCCAAGATTTGAGCTCCCCGTGTGAGATTCTGAGTGGTGTTTGCGGCAAGACATCCACATGGAAACGGAGATGAGGTATGATACAAAATGGCAGGGTTCACACACACGTAGAACCTTGATTACTAGTCCCAAGCCTCGTTCTATGGGCTTAATCTTTAATCATCTCGGACTCTACTAGAAGCATTTCATATTACTTGAGACGACCAACTAGACTCGTAGACATTTCGAGCAGGGCAGTCTTCATCCATGGATACTTACGAGGTGACATCTGTCACTAGGAACCATAGAAGGAATGAAAACGGAGATATCAATAGATGTGAGTGTTGGATGTCTACGGTTTGATGTGATGGCTAGATGTCGATGGTAGAGGTGAGTGCGGGTACTGGCAGAGTAATCATAGGTATAGGCTCAATATAATTATCGCACAGATAGGAACGAGGCTGCGCCCATAAAACTCTATCATATTCCCTACTCTAAGACAGACACATCTATTCTTCAAACCTGTAATACTACACGTAGGCTTATTCAAATCCCGGCCGACCATATTCCCAAGATCATAAGTATCGATGTTACTGATGTCAGCTAGATACCCAGGCAAGATATATCGGATGTCCCGATTTGATTATCATCCTCAAGCCCCCTATGATCTGTTTTGGAAATAGCATTACATGCAAGTTGGAGTGCCTCGACTACATCGCAGCATACTTCATGCAACTTGACACATAGATGATACAGCAGTATGAAGAAATTCGGAACTGGATTCAATACCTGCAGGGAAACAACACGCAAATCTTCAACCACCGGAGAACTCGCGGCTGCCAGAGACACGATCTGGTGTGTGAAAGAGATACCGCCCTCCCCCCCCCTCTGCTAACAAAGCCAGTCGAGGGGCTGGACCCAAACACTCGATGTGATAAACAGTCAAGCATCAAGACGTGGACATGGGTAAAGCCGTCCTCTCACATTCTCACCCAGTTGGTATCAACAAGAGCATCTTATTCCCGTTTCAAGAAGGTCTCACAATCATGTGGTTTTCGCAACCTCGCATGGCTGACAGCGAATTTTGCGGCTGAATTGCGCCAGTCGCAAATGTCTCAAACCCTGATATTCCGCGTGCGGCATTCATTCTGGACCATGCCAGCGGGCTGCTGCGGGAGCACCCTCCTCCATTCCTTCGGCACCGCACATGCCCATATGCTGTGACACAGACTATGCCAAGTTCAGGAGTCTTCGAAATGTTCTCGACTGAACGGTGACACTCGTGGCAATGAGAGTTACACGCTAAGGGCGGCAGCTGAAGGCGGGCCGCCCTAGTAACCCGCCCCTTGACGCGGGGGAGAGGATGGCCGATGGCGACAGTTGGAGGAATGTCGTGCCATAGACGAGGCGCCTCGTCGTTCGACTCGTGGGTTGCGGTTGTTTTTGAAGCGCCACCGCCTACCACTCAGTGATATGAATCTCTCGGGCCGCAGTTTCTGTCAGCTGCAATTGATGGTCCGTAGTGGAATGCTCTGGCAGTCTTGCTCATTGCTTGAACCACATACTCGTAGTTAAGCCACGCCTGGTGGTAATTGGCTGCTGAACGACATATGATTTCCCTTTACAAGCTTTGAGCCAGCCACATAATTCCAAGGTTGTGTGTGGTGGAAGCAAAATGGTCGTGATCGTCAATTAATATTGTAAACTATGTCATGGCCTGCGTCAGGTCGATGTCAGCAGGGCGTTTCTGCCACAGAGATCGCTGTGGCCTTCAAGGTCTGGGGTTAATTGTAGAGAAGAGCTGCAAATTGCGAGTTCAACCCAGATGTGACACTGATCATAGGCTACATGCTGTAGCCTCGAGCGCTCTATCCAAGTAGACCGATTTATCTTCAAGGTTAAAGCACCTAGAAGATGAGATACGCCACAAGCATGATATGTGCCATGCCATTCTCATCGCCTCCTCCATGTAAGTTCCAGTCTGACTTCAGTTACCAGGGGCGCTCAACTGATCGCAGCAGTAGAAGAAAACGTGAAATCTAGAGCGTCCTCATGAAATGCATCTTGCCTGTTCTGGTTAGGTCAATTACCATTCGAGATGCCAGAGGAGATGTGTATCTTCAGCCGCGAAAGTGATGGTGGTCTGTAATGGCATGCTTGCGGATCTTGCGCGATGTCCCTATCCAATTCCAGGAGAAGCTGACCAACGCTGATTGAACGAGTAAGAGGCCAGTTGCTTCTACACGTCGAAGTCTGTTGTATAAAGACCAAAGATGTTTCCTTTGAAATTGTCTTCTTCTCCTCATTACCACATTTAGCTTCTTCACTTTTCACCATCATCTCTAATAAGCCTCAACCATCCAATTCAAACGTTCTTTTCCCCCTCACTACCAAACGCAAATTCCAAGATGGCTCACCTTCTTTCCGCCTCAAAGCTCGCTGCTCTCTACGACAGCAAGAGCCGCCAGCTCGTCCTCACGGCCGAGGTCCCCGCCATCGTTCTCGGTCCCAAGTTCGTTCGTGTCGAGGGTTTCGTCGGTGGCCTCAAGTTCGCCCTGCAGGGATTCTTCGGCGGCCTGCTGCCCAAGGGAGTCCGCGATATCCAGGACGTCACGACAAAGTTCTCCATCATCCTCCCCGCCTCTCACTTTAACAACAAGACCGTCTTCGTCGACACCGCCGACGGCACCAAAGAGATCGAGATCAAGTACACCGGCCTCGAGGGCGTCGTTCCTACCACCGGCGTAGACTTCACCAAACACGACAACACCGCCATCGGCAGCGTCGTGACTCCCATCCACCTCGCCCTCGC